AAAAAAAAAAAAAAAAGGAGGGGTGAGGGGTGAGGGGTGAGGGGTGAGGGGAGGGGCAAGGAAGTAAATTGGGATGGTGTGGTTTGTTTGGGGGAAAAGGACAAGCATGGAAAAACGCAGACAAACAATGTTGTTCCAAAAAGAAAGAAAAAGGAGGCCCCTTGAGATGGCGGGTACAGTAACATAACACTCGCTCCCAATGAAGGAAAAAGGAAAGGGTTTGGGACAAGTAAATTTGCATCATTTCTTTTAAACGAAGCAATAAAGATAGAAAGCCATAAAAGCTGTGAGGGTGTCCCTTTCCAAAGGTGTAAAGGATTGGATTACTCTTCCCTAGAGATGAGATGTAAATTGTAATGTAACCGTAGCCAAGGGTTCTAACATCTAACATCTAACATCTAACTAGCAAGTAAAAAATAAAAAATAAAAAATAAAAAAGAGAGGGTGAAATTTGAAAGATTGAATGAATGAGTTTTGGATGGGTTGGTGGTGGTGTCATCATGTATGTATGTCTATGTAGTATGTAGTACAAGAACAGCAGTGATACTGATGAGAGCACAGCAGAGAGAAATTAAATTAAATGAGATGCTATGCTATGCTATGCTAAACACTTAACATTCATTCTCACTTCTGAATTCTGACCCAAACACTGCCTCTTATCAGTTATCCGGTTATCCCTCATCCGCGTTTGGCATGGAACGTCGAAAATTGAATGGCAGGGAATAGCAACCGCTGTCCAGGAGGAAAAGCGTCTTGTAAAAATCGTGATAATAAACAAAAGCAAACAGCGCCTGAGTCTGGATCCCCAAAGGAAGAACCAACTCCAGGAGGAGCAGGAGCAACGGCAACGGCAACAGCAACGGAAACGGGGTTTCTCGGCTTCGGTGGAGCATGCGGGTGGAACGACGTCGTCCAGGCAGGGCATGGTGAGAGGGGAGATAGTGGAGGTTGAAGGGGGTCACATTGTGCGGTCCACAGGGCGGAAGGACCGTCACAGCAAGGTATGCACCGCCAAAGGGCCCAGAGACCGACGGGTCAGGCTTTCGGCCCACACCGCTATTCAATTCTACGACGTCCAGGACCGCCTCGGCTACGACCGCCCCAGTAAGGCCGTCGACTGGCTCATCAATAAAGCCAAGTCCGCCATCGACCAACTCGCGCACCTCCCTCCTTGGAAACCCACGCTCCCAACGCACCTTAATAACACCCCGCAAAACGACGACGAATCGGAGAAACACAGCCACAGCCACAACCAAAACCCTAACCCCAACCAAAACCCCGATGTGGGGATTCTCAACCACTTCAACGAGAACGACAACCAAGAGAACCAGAACGTTCACCAGGATGGGGGAGGTTCAGGTTCGGGGTTTCTTCCGTTGGATAACGAGGCGATTAGGTCGTTCTTCCCCACGACGACGTCGTCGTTGATTCAGTTCCATAACTACCCGCCGGATTTGCTTTCGAGGACGAGCAGCCAGGACCTGAGACTCTCGCTACAGTCGCTGCAGGACCCGATTATGCTGCACCAGAGCAACAACGAGCACGTGCTATTCGCAGGGTTTGATAACATGGTAGCGTGGAATAATGCTGCTAATGATACGGGTGGTGGTGGAGGTGGAGGAGGAGGAGGAGGGTTTGTGTTTAACGCTCCTTCGCCTTTGCAAGGGCCGGCCACGGTGGCGTCGCCGGCGGTGGTGTTTGGCCAGAGCCACAGCCACGGCCACGGCCACGGCCACGGCCAGTATCTTTCTCAGAGGGGACCCCTTCAGTCCAGTAACAGCCCTTCCGTTCGTGCGTGGATTGACGCGCCGTCGTTTGTGGCCGCAGATTATCATCATCATCATCGACATCACTATCTGTCGCCTGCGGCGGCGGCGGCGGCGTTGGTGTATCAGTCTTCTCCTTCTTCGGCATTTGCGCCGCCCGGTGGCTTCTCGGGTTTCCGCGTGCCGGCACGAATTCAGGGCGAGGAGGAGCACGACGGCGTGTCGGATAAGCTGTCCTCTGCTTCCTCCGATTCTCGCCGTTGAACCGCTGCAGCCTCGCTGATTTCGGTCTCCTTCGGTGTGTGATGGGTTTCTGCAGGGAGGAGATGGATTTCGACCCGGAATGGTTCGGTTCAGTGGAGTATGCTTCTGGGAGGAAGAAAATCTGGGAGTTGAATTTCCAGGTTTTTTTAATTCTCCAGATTGTTATGTTAAATTATTTATGTTTTTCATGTTTGATTACGGAGACTTTTGTTTAATTCTGTGTTGGATTGTCATGTTTGATGTTTGTTGCAATTTGTAGTCGCTGGATTTGTACTTGGATTTATGTGGCTTTTTAGTTTTGGTCTGAGAACATGCACGTAGATATCACTGCCTAGTTTGATAGATTTATCTTGTATTATTTCCAACTTAGTGCAGAGCCAGAAGCAGGGTGAGGCTTTTTCTCCGTTGCAAAACAGGGCAAATCCCAAATAGGCCAACATATGAATAATTGGTATTTGGTTGTGTGTGTGCGCTAAAGGTTTGAATTGGTTGTTTACTGTCTTGTTTCGATAGAGGGAAAGAGACGGGGATTTTTCTTCCGGTTTG